GTAAATCTAGCAGCAATGGCTGGACAAGAAACAGAAGAGGATCCAGAAATCAAACCACTGAATTCGAAAAACGGTAAATTCAAAAGGAAGACTGTGTTTGAACGTTTTATTGAATTGAAGAATATTATAACAGTGGAACCCGTAGCATTTATTGCATTGTCTTCTAGTGTATTTGCAGCTGTCACAACGCAGACGCTAAGCTTGGAAAAAACTTGTCGCGTTAGTCTCAAAATCGACAGTGCAATATGCGACGCGATTCGGCTTCAAAATTCACAAAACGTGACTTTCTACGAGAAACAAGTGCAACAGTATCTAGCAGATCGCCTAGCTTGGAGAAGCGTCCTACAATCTCTGTTACCGTGTGTAATATTACCATTTATCGGCAGCTGGTGCGATAAAACTGGACGAAGGGTACTGCCAATGATGGTGCCCGTAGTCGGCGAGATACTTCAATGCCTTAGTAACATTATAAATGTGATCTTCTTTGATATACCTGTAGAAGTTCTTCTTTTTTTCGACGCATTCTTTCCAGCGATCTGTGGTGGTTGGAGCGGCATGTTCCTAATCCTATTTATTTACATAAGTAATGTTACTACAAACGAAAATCGGACGCATCGGCTTGGCTTAGTGAATTTTTTCACATACGTTGGTATACCTATTGGATTGAGTACATCGGGTGTTGTATTGAAGAATTTCGGATATTTAACAGTTTACACAATTTCTACTATACTTCATCTAGTGAATCTGTGGTACATAAAGTACAGATTAAAAGATGTCTACAAGCCTTCTGTGAATGTAAGTACATGCATTTGTTATTTGTTTTGTTTTAAAATTTGACAAATTGACTTCGATATCGATTTTAACATTAACTTATTTGACATATACTCGTAAAACAGATCATTTGACACAAAAATATGAATGGTCATATCAAATTCTGACTGGAACAATTATATTTATTTTTACAAACAAGGTAAGTTTGGAAAGTGCATAATGGTTGACTAATGGTGACACGCTTATAAGGTTATGTGGGTTGGTCCACTCGTCCAATCAAAGTTGTGGCCTAATTATAAGACACCCAATATACTAGTATCGAGCAAAGAGAATATGCCAGTATTCGAATACCACAGACAAATTCCAAATTTTTTATTCGTACTTTACACGTGTTGACGAACGAATTCCACGATCAATGAATAACATGGTGTGATAAGAATCAATCCACAAAACTTATGCTTCTTCTTCTTCTCAATCGTGTCACTCTTGACAGGGTGGTCGTGATCGTCATGTAGTGTTAGAAGGGGCAGACTTGATGCATCTCACGATGTCCCGCCATTTCTCCCTGCTTGAGGCCATTCTACTGCACTCATTTAGGGGACTTCCCACTGCAGTTTTAATTTGGTCGGTCCACCGCATTGGTGACCTCCCACGCGGTCTTGTACTATCAATCCTTCCCTGTATAACGAGGCGTTCTATGGACCGGCCATCTCGTCGCGAAACGTGTCCAAAGAAATCTACCATTCGAGACTGTACTATAGCAAATAGACGCTGCTTAATGCCGAGTTCCTGAAGTATCGAGATATTTGTGCGAAAGTCGGTCCACGAAACTCCAAGCATTCTTCTCCAGTACCACATTTCCAGAGCGTATATTTTCTTACTTTCCACGTCCCGCACGATCCACATCTCAGCAGCGTATAGAAATATAGAGAATATTAGTGTTCTAACGAGCCTGATCTTTGTGGTTTTGGTTATGTTTCTATTTCTTTATACTTTCCTCAGCCCGTCCATCGACGACCTCGTGACAGCCATGCGCTTTTTGATTTCGTCCACGCATCCGCCATTATTTGAGATTAAAGCCTCAAGATGTATGTAGGACTGGACCACGATAATCATTACCTTGGTCTTACTGCGGTTAATCTTCAAGCCAAACTCAAGGCTCACACGTTCCATCCTCGACAGCAACTGCCCCAAGCATTGCGCTTTAGTTGCAAAAAAAGTGTATCATCCGTGTATCTCAAGTTTGCAATCCTATACCCCCCAATTGCTACACCATCTGTCCAGTCCTCCAAATTGATGCGCATTATGATCTCTGTGTACGCATTGAATAAGAGCGGCGATACAATGCAACCTTGGCGAACCCCAGCACTTGGATGGAAGTTACCAGAGAGAACGTCATCCGCGCGCACCGAGGCCGTATCATTCTCATATAAGCGTCTCAATAGGTGCACAAGAATATTGTGAATGGTCAAAAGCCTTTCCTTTAATTCCAATTAAATCTTGTATATTAAGATTAGCAGCGACATTCACAATACAATAAAATTAGAATTCGGCAACTCTTAAACTTTACCTAGTCTTGAAGTTGATCTGTCTACTTGACTAGATATGTAAATGTACTAATCCATGCTGCTGCCATGATGAGCACTCCATAGCTTTGGGATATTAAGAAAACGCATCTGAACTACATCTTATGACAATTAATAAAGCTATTGCACTGCATAAGAAAATTATATCTTTAACTTCAATCTAACAGTATAGTTACCAAAATATTTAAAGTTATTTAAAAATTTGAAGTCATTATCCAATTTTCAATCGCTAATACAGTCTTAACACATCATAATAAAATTTAAGGAACAAAGGAACCATTTCTTTTCGTAATGTGGAATAAATAAAAATAAATAACCAGATTCCAATCATAATACTTCTAATATTTACTATAATGTGTTAAATTATTTTAATATTACATAAACACGTTTCCAATTATAGTGTTATCTTTACTGGATAATAAAAACTTTTGGACTAGTTTAGCGTCATCAATAGCTCGCTAAATAGTTGGTAGTAGATTCAGCTGCGAAAAATGACAATTCCATATTTTGATTCCTTATGATTTGTTGAAGATTGGATACGAGAAGGTGAGCGGAGCTAATCTATATATATATATATATATATATAAATGAATTGCTGTTCGCTAGTCTCGCTAAAACTGAGGATGGCTGGACCGATTTGGTTAATTTTGGTCTTGAATTATTTGTAGAAGTTCAGAGAAGGTTTAAAAGTAGATAAATATGAAAATGCTCGGAATAAAATAAAAATAATAATTTTGTTTTTCCTTTGATGTGTCCCCCGTCGGACGGTTTCCTTTTGTATGTTTTATGTTTATTTTATACAAAAGTTTAGGTCTTTTATTTATCGATTGAGGCACTACGAAGTCTGCCGGGTCAGCTAGTTTCCTATTAAAAGAATATGCTCCGTACTCTTATTTCAGCATCCCACTCTGTCACATCCGCTTCAAATAACTGTGATGTTAAACATGCTGACTTGGCTTTATATGTGATTGGAAACTATTTTATATTCTTAAAACATGAACGGTTTTTCGATTTGTCTATGACCAAGAGATAAATGTTTTTTTTTTCGTGCCATCGATATTAGCAGACACAAGATAGCATGCTCTTTACAGAGTTTTCCGCCGGCACATTTTTATACTTTGCCTTTTAAAGTACAATAGGCGTTACGTTGATTTTTTTTAGGGCAATCCTATGCATACAATTTTATATGTTCGTTTTTAAATGTGGGAATACACTAATAACTATGGCAACACAGTTATTTGCAGTTGCACAAAAAATTCTGGTCGTACGTGCACGTATTGTAAATCGAGAAATAAAAATCCTTCGCTCTGAATCTAGTTTTCTATTGAAACTAGCACACTAAAATACAGTCTACGCTCTAAACAGAAATAAGTCCCATTTCGTCAGCATCCAAATTTTCGTTTGTAGAATATTTTTTCTTTATTTAAACCAGACTTTATAAATCCAGTCGTTAGTGGTACTCGTATAGACATGAGAATCTCGGTTCTCTTCATAAACTTAACCGTTAACGCTAGACGGTAACGCTAACAATATGGCGATGTTAAAACTTTCCCAGCTAACTTTCTGATGACTTAAAGTCGGCAATGCCTATTTGGTAAGCTCTTCAGCTACGGTTTTAACAATTGATGTCGAGATGAGTTCATTATTTTAAGGCTGATTGATAAACTACGATAATTTTGCATGGTCTCAATCTTCAAAACGTTGTCTTCCTTATTTTTTGAAAGACTTTCCCTGTAGCTTCCCTTGCAAGTTTTTCATTGCTCTAGTAAATCTCTAGTGCTCTAGTAAAGTTGTAACAATCGATGGACTTAACTCTAAATGCCTTCTAATATCCTTTTTCGCTTATACGTCAACACACAACGCTTTTCTGTTAACTGTTTCAAAGTTGTTTTGCGACTGATAAAGACACGAGAGCTGCCTACTATGTAAAATGACTAGGCCCAACATTAAATGTGTTGAAAGAGAAAGAAATAGAGAGAGAGAGATAGAGAGAGGGAGACAGAGACACAGAGAGAAAGAGAGATATGAATATGAAAGCGACCTCAGGCCTTTTAAAAATTTCGACACATCAAAGTCATTGACAATGTAAACTAGCTATTTGATATTGTAGTAAAACAACCAAATTTAATATCTATTTTCTACGTTATGGAAAGTTTTACGTTATATCGAAAGACGATATAAAGAATTTACACTCTGCTTAAAAAAATGTTTATAGATAAGAAAATTGAAGCATACTTTTTGCTTCAATTGACGCTTTGTCTTTAACGCCTTGAACTAATTAACTTAGATTAAGAGAACAAAGAAAAAGTCTATAAGTCAATAAATATATAATTAAAATTCAAAGATACATAACTGTGTTTATCAATAAGTATCAAATAAATATATTTTTATCTATTAACGCTGATTACTAGAAACACGTGACGCTTTTCGTGTTTAATTTTTACGATATCGAATTTACTATAATATACACTAAACATAATTAATTCGTCACTACAAAAAATGCTACTTAGCTTGCGATTAGCATTATCATTTGATTCGCACATAATATATTATAATGCCCAACAATATCAATATATCAGTTCAGACAGTGCCGTCGTTCTAGACGGAAGTGAATGTTAGTCTTCAATTATATTGATTAACAAAATGACAGGCGGTAATCAAGAAAATTTAAATGAAAAACAGGAAGATGAATTCACTGAAGATGATCCATTAAGAAGCCAAGATGTTAAGGAAGTCTCACAACCAAGCGTATGTGCTAAATTCTGCCATCTAATCAAAAACATGACAGTGGAAGCAAGTTTGTTATTCCTCATCATGTCCAGTCTTATTTCAATGTTGACAACCCAAAACTTAAGCTTAGAAAAAGCTTGCCGCGTGAACTTAAATTTTTCAGATGAAATCTGCACCTCCCTAAAGCTGCAAGATGTCAACAGTCAGAATCAGTATGAAAAAGAGACTCAGAAACTGCTAGCGTCTGTAATGGCTAAAAGAACTTATATTTCCGCCACGATACCATGCGTGATCGCCTTATTAGTCGGAGCATGGTCCGACAAAACTGGACACAGGAAAGTGTTTCTGACAATTTCAATATTTGGGCAATTCCTGATTACAATTAATAATATGTTAAATGTTTATTTCTTTCACGAGCTAAGCGTAGAAGTTCTCGTGTTCAGTGAAGCTATTTTAGAAAGTTTTTCGGGTGGTTGGTGCGTAGGTATCTTAACTGCCTTTTCATATATCTCTGCAATTACATCCGATGAAGACCGTACTTACAGAATGGGATTGTTAAACTTCTGTATGACAGTTGGATTTCCGGTTGGTATGGGACTCAGCGGCATACTCTTGAAAAAATACGGTTATTACGGATCTTACGGACTAGCTGGTGCAATTCACAGCTTGAATGTTATGTACAGCATATTTGTATTGAAGGATCCAAAAAGAAATAAAGAACAAAAGAAGGTAAACTGCCTAAGCGTCATCAATAATTTGATTACAATGACACGTACTACTCGATAACGCGGCTCACATAGAGACTTAGACTAGGCCGTTGCTTTATTTCTGCCTGGCCTTCGAAATTACAGAACACTACCAGTCAGCCTTACACTATCTCAGAGACTCGAAAATCACACATTTCCACCTTTGCAGTATCAATCTAACGATTTTAAACTCTGTGACACCTCTCCAGCCATTTTCAAATGAGAGGCTCGCCCACTTGTCTGGACGATCCTCCTCAAATCTAACCAAATGATCTTTTAATTCTCCCTATTGACTATTTGACTGGCTTCTCTATTGGCTTCTCTATTTTCAGGAAATTTTTTTGCNAGACTCGAAAATCACACATTTCCACCTTTGCAGTATCAATCTAACGATTTTAAACTCTGTGACACCTCTCCAGCCATTTTCAAATGAGAGGCTCGCCCACTTGTCTGGACGATCCTCCTCAAATCTAACCAAATGATCTTTTAATTCTCCCTATTGACTATTTGACTGGCTTCTCTATTGGCTTCTCTATTTTCAGGAATTTTTTTTGCTCTCCGACTTCATTCTTCCTTTTAGAATGGACCTAAAACCATATACATTTTATTATTGTCTCTGCAACTACGAGTTTATCTTCTTCTGTAGGAGTAAAATTCAGGTTCCCCCGTTCACCAAGATTAGTCTGATCACTCTTTCTATGTAACAATGTCTCTTCTATGTCGATTTCCTCTCTTGTACTTTTATTTGAAATTTATTTTAGATATTTAAGACTCTAATTTTAAATTTTTTTTGTCTAAAATCCTTGTACCGTTGTACGTACAGATGTTTCGTTTTACACTAGTGAATTCTGAGCCGAACAATAATAACTGAGGTTAGACTAGAATACACTTCTAGACTGCGTGAAAAGAGCTAGTTGACAACTTAATATATAATCCTACACTGCGCATTTAATCGTAAACTGCTGTTGAGTAACACAAACATTTTCTGATAACACATGCGGCACATGTGACAGCAAACCGCCTAGCTTAAGTCCAGTAGCCTTCATAAGTTCGCCTCCAAACTTATCACATATTTTTTTCAATTAAGTGACAGCTTTTCTTATGACCATAAGTTTTTATGTGTAAGCTACAGTCCTTCCCTCTTAATACTGCCATAAGCTTTACTAAAGGTACCAAAGTATGAGTATATTCTGTATGCGTATTCCCATTTTTTCCCATCAGCTGTATTAAGAGAAATCATTTAAATTTTATATCCGCATTAAATAAATTTTATTTTCAATAATTTTAGTGATTCATGATTCTTTTGTGTTTTTATATACAAAATCTGTACTGCAATTATTTACTTTGAGGAGTTACTTTAAATTGTATTATTTCAGCACGATAAACAAGGAATACGCCACTTTTTTCGAACCTTCTTCGATTTTGCCAACGTTAAGGATACAGTAGGTGTTGTCTTCAAGAAAGCACCGAACAACAGAAGAGTCCGTCTTTGTATTCTTCTGGCAGTAGTTACGGTTTTATTCGGACCAATGTATGGTAAGTTCAATGTCTATGATACATTATCTCCACTGGTAGTAGGATAAAAGAGACGCCGGTCACTTTTCTACTTGATTGTGATCTAGCTGCATATGAAGTATGAGATAGCCTTTATACCAATTATTGAACTAATTGGGCAATATTCAAAACAAGTGTTCGGTTGATTGTCCGCCCATCAATCCCAACGTTAAAGCACCTGAGGCCAGATCCACAGCAACGACCAAACGCAAATATTGAACCTTGAGGTTCAGGTGACCAAATAGAAAGCTCATTTGTCTTGGTTCCAGCAATGAACTTATTTGCTGAACTTAGATCCAAACTTCCTTCACCGTAAAACGGATGACACTGAAAGCTAAAAATGTTCTTAGCAGCTGTAATTAACTACCACAAGTCCATTGTCGATTTATAAAAAAGGCATAAAATATAAACATGCCTAAATATAGCAAATAATATTCTCTATTTCCTTCTGTTGTCATTCGATATCTTGGTCTTTTACTTATTTAAAACTAACACCCTGAATTTTTGACACTCCGACACAAAATTCTCGGCTTTATTTGTTAAATACTGCTCTCTAAAAATTAATTGGATCAACCCTAGATATTCACCATATCCTTAAATTCCACACATCCAAAACTGGGACAGCCGACTGTATGCAAAAAAGAGTAGTTTAAATAGTAATTGGTTGATTGATAAATGGAATAGCACGAAAAAGTTTGATAGGTACAAATATCCCTGGTGTATAGACACAGCCACTGGAAGAACAACTGGCTGTACGTCTCCGTCTGTCTATATAACGCAAAAATGTGTACCTATCATACTTTTCCGCCTAATCGATTTGTTAATCGACCATTTAATATTACTTAACTTTTCAATATCCAATTTAATATGTTATTTCTTCTGATTATTATTGTTGCTCGACCGATATGTTGCATTCCATCGCCGTCTAAATATAAAGCAATAAGCTCATTAGTAGTAGAAAACAAACCATGCAAAGTAAATAGAATAAATACGCTGACAAAATTTTTAACTATTACATTTAATCTTCGAATTTATGGCCCAATGTTTGGGTCAGCTGCAAACGAACAACGTAACCATGCGATAAGAAATTTTGTAAAGTTGTAATAATGAAACTTATTATCTGAGTTACTTAATTTCGTACAAATTAGTGATAAAATATTACACTAAGCGACTCCTTATTTGCCGTTCGACGATAAAGTTCAATAATTAGGTTGTGGTACGTACGTTATTAGTTATTCTCTTGTTGCGAGAAATTCGCTGGATTCTCACTTCTTGAATTTAGATAAAATATATTATCACGTTGACTGCCATGTAGGTCACCGGTACACTACGTGGCGCATGAAGTAATTATGTCGATTTCTCTTTTCGATCTTCTTACTAAGGCACCGGGATATCTAGTAGACTCCGGGAAAGACGAATCCGAACGATACTGAGAATGAATTTATTTCTAAGAGACCCTAAACACTAAAATACACATTAACAAACAATAGAGGCAATAGAGCAACTAGAACAATAGAGTTAGGCAATCCAGGCGCTTAGTAAAAGAAATCGACGTAATTACTCCAGTGCGCCGCGTAGGACACCAGTGACTGATATGGCAGTTAAAGGGTTAAAATTAAAAACGGTAAGAGAATCAAGCGACATATTAACACATTTTATTTAATACGAAATCAGCTAAAAATTCTTACTTTTAAAACAGTGTAAATGTAGAATTTAAAGCTAAAGCCGAGCTGAAGTGAAGCTTTGAAAGCGTGGCTGTTGTAATTTGATTTGACTTGTATGTAGGTTATGATCAGTCATCTACATCACAGTAATCATCCTTGGAAATAATATCCCACATTTGCGTTTTTACTAGTGGTATTACTCTGACTCATAGTAACCACCACCATCATGCTTGTATATGCTGCAAAGCAATTACACAACTCTACAAAAAAAAATCGTTATTTGTCCTAACGTTTCTACTAGGTTTTTCCGGTTAATTATTCACAAAAACGAAAATAAATTACCTTTTTTTGGTATAAAGTTTCATATACTCATTTTTCAATTTTTTTATATAATAATATTTTAATTAATTTTAATACTTTCAAAAAAACCGCGCTATGAGAGTGGGGTGCTTAAGTTTACACAGTGCCAGTAGATGGCACTCGAGTCATAAACAACGATCGGGTGTTTTGTACAAGCCCAGAAAATCTTAAAATGTCACGAAAGTGTAAATACGATGCTGATGCGTTTTGTTTCATATGTGGTCAATTTATTAAATTTCAAAAGCAGACTGTTTTATACCATTTTTTTTTCCGTCTAATTACAATCTAAAATATCGAAATTTTATGCTTTGCAATCAAAGTCAAATTTGGTGTTGACCCGTGTTATTTGTTTCGATTTGAAGCATGTGCATTATGTAGACAAGACAATTGATTGGTTTCAGTCATAAGACGCTAGTAAACATTTCACACCAGATGGGCAGTCAATGAACGCACTGACTTAAACAATAAATTATTTTTTATCAAAAAAGAGATCGCAGTAGAAGATATTATTCACATTTAACATAATATTACGCTTAACCTAAATATTATCTTTCAAAGCATTTTAATAACTATAGATAAGATATTTATACGTAATATGCCTTTAAATTAATGTTGTTCACACCTTATTCAGAACGATGGTAATTTAAAGTTACAAAATACTCTATTAAAATTACCTCTACCATTCCGTCATTCTTTGATTTTTAAACAACGACAAATCTACGTGGTTCGGTATTTTAACATGTACATCTATACAAATATTATAAAGCTGAAGAGTTTGTTTGTTTGAACGCGCTAATCTCAGGAACTACTGGTCCGATTTGAAAAATTCTTTCAGTGCTAGATAGCTCATTTATTGAGAAAGGCTATATATAGGCTACATAATATCACGTCAAGGCACAATACAAGTGGAGCACCAATAAATAATGTTTCAAAATAGGGGTTTAAATAGCTTCTTAACATTCTATAATTCAAAAATATTTTCACTTTCTACGTAAATGAATGGGCAGGTAATATTTAGCGTTATGCCAAAGTAACTATCCCACGCGTACGAAGTCGCGGGCAAAAGCTTGTATAACATAGTGCTTCTTTGATATTTATAATTACGACTTTGAGAGAGTTGACATTGTTAACTGTATTGCATTGTTATTTTAAAATTCTTCTAGTTATGTTTATTTTAGATACTGGTTGAATAAATATAGAAATTTGTTTGTGTAGATTCATATCTTTTTTTTATTGCTTAGATGGGTGGACGAGCTCACAGCCTACTTGGTGTTAAGTGGTTACTGGAGCCCATAGACATTGACAACGTAAATGCGCCACCCACCTTGAGATATAAGTTCTAAATGTCTCAAGTATAGTTACAACGGCTGCCCCACCCTTCAAACCGAAGCGGATTACTGCTTTACGGCAGAAATAGGCAGGGTGGTGGTACCTACCCGTGCGGACTCCCAAGAGGTCCTACCACCAGTACACTCCTATTAATCTATTATGATATCAGACAAACTTTATCAGTGATTAGATTCTTTTTTTTTTGTTTACAAAATATTGCATCGTCATCTGGATTATAATTTTACGGGTTTGATTTTTATTACACGATGTTATTCCTCCACCGTGGAAGTCAATCGTGAACATTTGTTAAGTACATATTTGATTAGAAAAATTGGTACCCACCTGTGATTCGAACACCGGTGCATCGCTCAACACGAATAAATAAATAAATAAATATTTACTAATAATCACGCCACGTTAACTGGTCCCGTGATAAGTTCGTAAAAAACTTGTGTTACAGGTACCAGATAACGGATATAAATGTAAGATTTTTATTATACACATACATATATTTAATATACATCCATAACCCTGGAAAAGACATTTATCTTTATCATACAAATATCTTCCCTTGGCGGGATTCAAACCCGCGACCCCCTTGTGTAGTGACCATGTCACTTACCACTACACCAGACGGCCGTTAAACATCGGACGTCTTATCCGTTAGACCACGACGACTTCAATTTAATAACTTAATTCGATTTAAAGATTTAATAACTTAATTCGGGACTTGCTCGTTTACAATTGGCGGCACCAAAAATATACAGTAAATAATAGAATGCGGCTAATTAAAATATTGGAAATATCAGCATGCATTTTAATCGAAGCATCATCCCAATCGACAAATCGTATCCGGAATATTAAGGGTACGGCTTTCAGAGCATGGAACGTACTGTTATTTTTTTATTTTTTTTATTGCTTAGATGGATGGACGAGCTCACAGCCCACCTGGTGTTAAGTGGTTACTGGAGCCCATAGACATCTACAACGTAAATGCGCCACCCACCTCGAGATATAAGTTCTAAGATCTCAATATAGTTACAACGGCTACCCCACCCTTCGAACCGAAACGCATTACTGCTTCACGGCGGAAATAGGCGGGGTGGTGGTACCTACCCGTGCGGACTCCCAAGAGGTCCTACCACCAGTACACTCCTATTAATCTATTATGATATCAGACAAACTTTATCAGTGATTAGATTCTTTTTTTTTTCTTTACAAAATATTGCATCGTCATCTGGCTTATCGATATTGATATGCTCTACGAATCAACCTTCTGATATGGACGCTGTAAGACATGATTAGGACGATAAAAACACGCATATTTCCACGATGAAGGAATGAAGTCGTGTAATAAAAAATGAAGTCGTAAAATTTGCTATATAACAATAACTCAAATTTTATAAGTATTTAATAATACACAAGAATTGCTCGTTTAAAGGTATAAGATAATAACTGGAAACAAATCACGCATAGTCATCGGGCCCCAATTTAGGATTCCCTGTATTATTGGTACAAGAAACTGACAATCGTAAATAAATGTTTGAATATATAGATAATACATATTTAGACAAATAGCAAATAGACCTGTTCATCGCACAATGCCTGACCGATGTGGAAATTGAATCCTCGACGCGATAGCCAAGGCAGCTAACTATTGCACCACCGAATCAGACCAAATTGAATAAGAACTCATGGTAGGGCGCATTGCAAGCGCGAATGTGTAGGTAGGTAACACATGGGGCGTGATAGAACACAATTGAAACTAGCCCGCTGAGTTTCTCGCCGGATCTTCTCAGCGAGTGGCGATTCCGATCCGGTAGTAGATTCATTCGCGAAGTAGTTGCTCTTGAGTTGTTAGGTCTCCTTCAGAGGCGCTCGGGCAGCTGTTAACAAATCCCACCCCTTCTGGCTGAGCCTTTGTTCGCCCATCTGTCCTGGTGGAAAAGGAAGGCCAAACTGGAAAGGCCGCCGGACCACCAGTAATCCTACAATCATATTTAAAAAAAAAACAATTGAGACATCGTCTCTAAGGGGGTTGTGGCTTTCGCCTTGTGTTCCACGGTAACCGGTTAACACCTGGCTAACTTTGAGTTCGTTCACCCAGTGAGTTTTTTTATTTTACTTTTTATTGCTTAGATGGTTGGACGAGCTCACGGCCCACATGGTGTTAAGAGGTCACCGAAGCCCATAGATATCTACATTTTAAATACCACCTACCTTGAGATATAAGTTCTAAGGTCTCAAGTATGTTACATAAAAGAGCAATAAAAAAAGGCCACCAAAACTTACAGAATAAAGTCTCATATTACATCTTGGGGGAAAATCCACGTCTATTAGATGTCTTCTGGAATTTCACGTAAAATATAAACGATATTTTTTTTATGATTTTTTTATTCCATTTTTCCTTACATTCTTTTCTCTTTATTTTATCATTGATCACACATGATTTTCGAACCTAAACATATTTATTTAGGTTTTCATTCGTTTTTCACAATGATTTAATCGAATCAAATAAAATTATTATTTTCAGGTGAAGTATCTATATTATATTTGTCGACCCGCTACCGATTCAACTGGGATGAAATCAAATTCAGTATTTTCCAGACATACAACTTTGTAACGCACACAGTTGGTAAGCTTTAAGACAATGTTGATGTTTAACAAACAAACAAATCTTGACAATTTTTCTTGTTTCTGCTTGAATCTGCATTGAACTTTAAGCCTTTTAATGTAGGTAGGTAGGTAATGTAATATTAGAACTAGAATAAATTAGTATAGTATATACAGTATAGCATAGTTATATTATAGAATAGATTAGTTATATTATAGAATAGATTAGTTATATCATAGAAAAGATTAGCTATATCACAATTATCGTTTATTCACTACTACTACTATCAGCCCATCGATTATATGTATTAGCGTTAATATAACAAGTATTCAAAATAGCTGCGTCACCATTACAGAAAATAACAACTTTAAGCCTAGCCTTAACATTAAAACATTATATATTTATATATTTTGTTTCTAATCAACTGATCAAGGAACATTTTCTAGATCCAATTAGTGTTTCGGTTTTAAATACCGAGTTAAATAAATAAGGATAGGAAGTTTAAATCTAAAATTTCAAGTTTGGCAGCAATATTTTAGCTACTAGACGCTGCATTTATGGGCTAATAACTTCGTTATCACGACTTTATAGCTCACCTGCTACTAATAATGTTAATATCAATAACGTCCACCACTTCCTTACCAGGTACAATTTTCTCGATATTATTCTTTAGCAAATACCTGAAATGGGACGACTCAATATTGGGCATAATATCGACGATCAGTAAAATAGCTGGATCTTTCGTCTACTGTTTTGCACCGAACGATAAAATATTCTTTATTGGTAAGTCCTCGTATTTATCCCAATTTATTTGAAATTTATGTATCTTTATATATATTTCTTCTGTGCGTGTGTTTGTCACTGAACTCTTCCTAAACGGCTGGACCGATTGCAATGATTTTTTTTGTATGCGTTTGAGTGGTACCCTGGACGGTTTAGATTCACAAATCAGCCCGACAGATAGCGCTGCAATCGGTATCTAGGTTATTTATCTTTCCTAGACATAATTCATACGGCAAAACAACGTTTGCCGGACCAGCTAGTATATTTATAAATTTTATTTTCAGCGCCTCTGGTTGAAATATTGAATGGAACAGCGCTTTTGGCAATGAGGTCTATATTCTCCAAGATGGTGCAGCCGGATGAACTCGGTAAAAAGCGGTGATTTATCAAATTCTAAACTAATTTTGTAAAAAAAAAAGATGTGTGCTGTCGTGGAACACCGGATATTATAAAAATATTAATTTTAAGTTCTATTCAAGGTATAAAGAAAATAATACTGGAGGTTTCGCAACCACGCTGTGTGCATTACTAGTTTGTACGTTATTACAAACTTAAGTCGTACATTGTGTGCGTTACTAATAAAAATCTTACGTTACGGACGTTTCTTCCGGGTTAAGGTACCCCTCCGCATCGTCCCATAAGGAACTTCGTTCCAAATATTAAGAAAACTTTTCTACTCGTTACTCTTGGAAAAATTAAATCAAATACGAAGAATTTAAAGACCAACATGCCCAGCTATGAGTATTTGGTTTTCATTTAGATAACCAATATAACTCAAAGTAAGCTTTTCATTTAGTAGACTTTAATAGACATTGCAGAATACTATAATATTATTTGAGTTTTTTATAAGCTAGATATCCTAATTAATATCAAACCCTAGTCATTTAGGTAACGTTATTCAAAATCATTTCTTTTCGATTATCAGACTTTATATATTTAATGTATGTCGGCCCAACATCACTATTTAGTTAACTAAGATTATTTAAAGTTAACGATTTCCTTGATGTTGATATTGTTGGTTACTCATTATAAGTTCAACGCGTGTAAACAATTGCTTAAAACGGTATTCAAGAAAATTCGTGACTAAGCTTCCGCCATTTTTCTACTATAAACATGCACAATACATTCCGGCTCGAGCAGCCGAACGCGGCGGAGCTTTCTGTTGTTATCGTTGTACACTTGCAATGCAATAAATGGAATTCATTTGAAAAGTTAGTCTTAATTGTCATCAGTATGGAAGGCAACAACGAATAGAAAAAGTGGTGTGGCTGACGTCATCAGTCGCTGACGTCACCAATCACTTATCCTTTAATGGGTAATAATTTAGCTTACTATTTCATTTCCCCTTCGTAGTCAATATATGGCTTCGATTCCAAGAGAAAGAAAGGCGGGGCATTGAATCCAAAATATAGTTGTTAATCTTCTGAAATATGTATTTTAATGTTACGAATACGTTTTAGGTAAAATGAACTCAGTCGTGGGCTTGACCGAGAATCTGATGCCGTTACTATACGTACCGCTCTACACTAAAGTCTACACGTCCACAATGGAAGTTCTACCGGGGGCCGTGTTTCTGATGGGCGCTCTCATGACTCTACCAGCTGTTGGAGCTTTCATGTTAGTGTAAAAATCTCTTGTTTCATATCTTTCTTGGTCGAATAGTTGATTTTATGTCTATTGACTCTGTCGGGATTCAGTATCCATTCGGAGTGGACTACAGGAAAACAAGGACACAAGAATCAATACCACGTAACTTGGGATTAGGGTCTTCGAATATAAAACAATAGGAAAATGAGCTCAGTTCATGTTAGACAAATTTCAATTGCTTAACCAATTTAATTAGACTAAATTACACAGATCATCTTAAAAATTCAAATTTAAAAAACAGTATTTGTAATCATATATTACTTTCTGTTTAAATTAAAACAACAATTAATTTTAAATTTAATAATTTCTATTTCTTCTCGTTTGCAGATGGCTATTTGTCGAACACAGGCTAAGTCTAAGGAAAACGAAATCCCAAATCGAAAATCAATCTCCTGATTAGTTTAATATTAGTTTTAAGTGTTATAAGTAATGTTTAGTTGTATATGTTATCTGTAATTTTTTATGTATAATAAAACTCTATAATATTTTTAGATGTTTGATTGCACCGAATTTGAGTCTATGTAAATATATACATAAGTAATTTTACTGGTGGTAGGACCTCTTGTGTGTCCGCACGGGTAATGCGTTTCGGTTTGAAGGGTGGGGTAGCCGTTGTAACTATCCTGAGACCTTAGAACTTATTTATATCTCAAGGTGGGTGGCGCATTTACGTTGTGGATGTCTAAGGACTCCAGTAACCATTTAACAACAGGTGGGCTATGGGCTCGTTCACCCATCTAAGGAATAAATAAAAAAATAAGAAAAAATAATGTGTTCGCCTCACAATGGGCCTTATCTCTCAAGACTCGGAATTTATTTGCAAGATTAGATCAGAAATGATAACATTCGCAATACAGATAATCGACACAGTCCAAAGGATTGCGAGGTTGAAGTGGTAGTGGGCAGGACACTTTGCTCGTAGAACTGATCACCGCTGGGGCCGAAAAGCTCTCGAGTAGTTACTGAGTACCGGAAGACGTAGCGTGGGTGGGCCTCCCATACTGTAGACCAAAGACCTGTTGAATCCACTGGGCACAAGTGGCGGAAGGCGGTCGTCGTGATGAGGCTTGGGGGAATCCTATGTTACTGGACATCTGTAGACGTTTGTAGGCTGAAAGATAGACAGATAAACGCCTTCTATTTTATTATATCTATATAATTTATCTTACGTCATAGCAGTTCCTGGGAGTACAAAGAGAAAATCTTCTAACATGCGGGTGAAATTGCTGCGTAAACCAACGGTCCGAGTGTTATTTATTGTTCGGAACTTGTATATATAAAAGCTTCTTGAAAATACCACTAATGAGATTTAGGCATTCATTCTTATTTCTGTGATGGCTATCGGCTAATACTTCAGGATTAGGATAAGGCGTTCGTCGAAATTTTGAGCGATAAAACTAGTGACAAGTGTATTATCCAACGCCGACTCACCGATCAAAATAAACAGCAATCTACTATTGATATTGCTACTGCTACTCTAAGTGCTAGTTTTAATACTATATTTAACAGGTGGTAAGGCGTCGTCTGAGCCTGTATGGACAGGTACCACCACCCTGCCCATTTCTGCCGTGATGCCGTTGTGCTATTGCGAACTTAGATTCTCATCTCAAGGTGGGGGTGGCATTTATCTTGATAATGTCTATGGACTCCGGTGCCAATTTAACATCAGGTGGGCCATTAGTTCGACCACTTAAGCTTAGCTTTTTTTTTAAATCTGTTAGCATTGCATACTTAACTACTTTGGACACATTGCTCGCAAAAATCCTGACAACCTCGATAAGCTGATAGTAGTAGGCCATAAACTTTTTTTTTTTGGGCCTGATGCCGAACCTCCTACGAGGTCCCCGCGCCTAGGGGACGCGCGGGGTATGTGGGACATGACGGTCTGCAGATGTTGGTTTTTAACGACTCTACGTCGGCCGTCTTGGTAGGGCAGCCGGACAGGCCGCTCCAGGCGGTGCCGCTGGTGTTCCGGAATACCCCGCTGAGATAGTAGTAGACCGTGTCGACGGAAAAAGACCAGGTGGTCGATCACCTGCCCGTTATTCAAAACTGATAGCACCACTCACCGGCATTCCTACACCTGAAGCACTACATAATGCCGAAGATAGGGCACGTGGAAAAAGATTGTGCAACGAATAATCACGGAACAGTCCTCAAATTAGACGCGACCTTCGGAAATGAAGATACCGACTCTGAAGAAGACGAATAATTAATAATATAACTATCTGTTACTGGAAACACTACAAAGGGCTGCCTAGGTATACAAAAAACTCACGTCTTTTGGTTAAATTATCATTAGCGACCTAATTTCGATGACTCCAATGAACACTACGCTAACTCCAAATTCGTAGATTTACAGGAGGAGCGTTTAAACGAAAAAAGTTGATAAAATCTTTATTATTGCAGATATATTTATGGTCTTTTTGTGTAACTAGCTGATTTACTCTTGCTTCGAACCCCATCAATAATGATTAATTGTAATAATTTTAACATAGTGAAGCGATTTGCGTAAAAAACGAAAATTTCCCAATTATGAGTTAGAGTAGTGTTTATTGGAGGCATCGATTTGACCATAACAACAGACAGCTTAAGATTTAGATTCATGTATTGAATTCTTTCTTTTCGTAAAAGTGATAAAAAAGAAACTGTTTCCAATGTTTTTGTTGATAACCCTAGAGCACATGAATAGTCACCAAACAAAAACAAATACCGCTATGAATACTTTATGACTATTTAAATACAAATGTATTTAAAGCGTTATTACAGAAAATATGTTAATTTATCTCGTTTGGAATCTGTCTATACAATGTTTTGTGGGCCAATCTAAAATCTCAAAGAGCAGTAGTTATGGAGAAAAGACAATGACCCCCGCGACAAACTATATATGTGAATATATTAAATAAAGACGTGAAGTTACTCATCCGTGTGCTATACGCAATACTCTATACACCTGCTTCATGTGTGATGACGTCAAGACATTGTGGAGCTTAATAGTTTTTAATCGTATCAATAGGTGGCGCTGTATGTACATTTGAATCGCGCTATCGTTATTTGTCAAGAATTATTTATAAGCTCTAGAAATTTAAAATTTCGCATCTCTGGTTTCCCTTCAAAACGTATAAATCTTTCGCCTTTTACTAAAGATTTCCGTGGAGGGGAACACTCAAATGAGTCCATAGTATTTTTGTGCCCATTACGGTGGGCTTTATGATAACCTTAATCCGTCAATTTTCATACCAACAATCTTTCAAAGATCGATCGGATTCGCTAAATCCAAGAATGATCCTTGGGTTGGGTTGAAAAGAAGTCCTCGGAATGCACAATTACGTTAAGATTTGCAATAATTATCGACAGTTAAAAGAATCGGTTTTGTTATTTAATAAAATGAAACATAACAAAATATTATGTATTATTATGATCAAATATATTCGGAAGCTGAGCTCAGTGACGCGTAATAAAATAGCAATACGTATGTCGGGTTATGAACGTCGTTTGATTGGCCACTCAGTTTCTCGCAGAGAATTGCTCTTGCTAGGGTTACTCTGTAGGTATACGACAAAGGGAAGATCTTCCACCGAGCGGGTGATATTTACTCGGTAGACCGACGGTCCGAATGTTTTTTTTTTTTTTTTTTTTTANCTTAATCAAGGATGTCTTGAGTGACTCCAAATTGGGATGAGGCTTTGAGCACGCCTTTTCCTCCAAGTGTTGCCATATCTTGTAATCTAACGGATTCAAATCTGGACTGGAGGAGGGCCAGTCTTCGTGCCGGATGAAGTCGATTTCACGCGCCGCCAGCCAGTCTTGTGTGCTCTTCGCTCTATGAGCTGCCGCCGAATCTTGTTGGAATACCCAGTGCCTGTTATTGAACATGGTATGAGAAACAGGTTCCACAAGGTTCGTCAGAACTGTATTTTGATACACAACTGCATTCGTTTTTACACCTTTCTCACAAAAATGTACCTTTGTTAAGCCCCAATAAGAAACTCCCAACCATACCATGAGCGAGGATGGAAAATGACCTCGTTGGACACGCGAAATACGGTTGCTCGCTTCTTCACTACTGTGTGCGTACACCTTATCATTTTGTTTGTTGTAGCTCTCTTCTACGGTAAAAAATTTTTCATCCGAAAAAAGAATTTCCCGATATTTTTTTACCGCGTGCCGCTTCAACAAAGCGCGGCATCTCTTAAGTCTCAGGTCCATTAGATGAGCATTCAAACGATGTCTTGTTTTTCCTCGATATGCCCGAAGCCCTAAGTCTTCATTTAACACCCTTTTCACCGTGGTTCTGCTTAACCCCATTTGAAGGGCCAACAGTTTCTGCTTACGTTTGGGATTTCTTTGAATTCGCGCCTTCACAGCTTTTATCACTGCTGGAGTCCTAATAGACCGAGGGCGACCACTTCTTGACCTGTCATCTACACTAGAGTCTTCATTGTATCGTTTGATGGTACGATAAACGAATCTTTTGGTTATATTCAAATTTTTCAGATTGTTAAAAATTTGAATTGGCGCGTAACCGCAACGATGCAACGCAATAACTGAAACACGGTCTTCTTTAAGCGTCCACTCCATATTTAAAAATGAGTAAAATTCTAAAAGTATACATTTTTATTTTCATGAACAATTCGAAATTCGAATTCAATAAACTTTTTGTGGCCAGCATTCTAAAAGAAAAGTTTTTACTGTGTGACAATACTTATGACCTGACTAGTTATATGTTTTGGGCGACGTCGACTGTTTACCATTCGGTCCGCAGGATCGGGAATGAACCACAATCAGAGGATTTCCATGACGTAGGCACCGCTTTTTCAAAGAAGCTTTCTATCTTTCTATAACGGTATCTATTAATGGTAGGCAGCGGCTTAGCTTTGCCCCTGGCATTGCTGACGTCTATGAGCGACGGTGATCACTTACCATCAGGTGGGTCGTATGCTCGTCTGCCTACAAAGGCAATAAAAAAAAAAAACTAATATTGTCTTCAGATACTTGCGTATCGGTTCCAGTTGGAGGTAATCGTGAAGATTTACGTTCCTGACATACCACGGTAAAAATTACTTCACACCGGAGACTTGATGAATAAAAGATGTTACATAACTCACGGTCCATTTATCAACAGAACACTATCGGAAGTAAAAAAACCCACAAAAACTTCAATAGATAATAATTTCAAATCATTATCATTTTGAGCACTTTTGATCATTGATTGCGTGGCCAGCTAGAGTGTCCATAATTTTATGTAGGATTTTAGAAAACTTTAACATCTTGTATGTTTCCTTGTCACTAGATATAACTATACGAAATATGCTTCTAACTTTTTGCTTCTTTCTTAATGTAATATGCTTCAACTCTTTTGTCCGTAGATCTTGTAGGTTGTATGATACTAAGTTCTCTAATGCTGACATCTTTTGC